TTGTCAGATGTTCGAAATAACATTTCTTAAGTTACGTTAACTAAAGTATATTGCACGTATGTTTTTAATCATATGTCCTCTAACTGAAGAGCTATTGGGAAGAACAATACTAATATGAATTTATAATATTTAATCTGATAAATTTCTCTTTCTTAAAATTGCTCACAAAATCCAAACTAGTGGAGCCAAGATATAACAAAGTTGTACCTTCTCCTCCTGGCTAGTTTGCAGTGTGTTTGATACCAATTTTACCAGAATTACTTCCATTAAAATTTCATAAAATTCTAGCAAAGGTGTTAAAATTTTATCAACATTTTTTTATCCGATGAAAAAATCTTAAAATGCTTTATTAAGTATCTTACAAATTCCATAAATTTTACATAATTCAATGATAGTGATAATACTATCAACGTTTTACAAAATACTATTACATTATTAGATTTATGATATTATTATTTTCACATATTTTTAGATATTTTTTTTTTGGAAAAAATGTGTTTGAGGCTCATGCTTACAGGGAAGATATACTTAGCATAAGGTAAGCTACCAATTAATTAATTAGGTCTTTGTTCAGTAACATTATAAAGAATTGAGATTATGCCACAAATTCAAATTTTCTGACTTTTGATATTCCAAACTAGGAATTCTGCAGTTAGAACCAATTAGGTAAAAAAGATTTTTTGGAATTTGTGGTTAAAACTCAGTTCCTTTGCCAACTTTTTAACCCTGGCACGGTTGTATCACAATCTCGTATCTCAACTGTCAGGGATATAATCATGCACATAAATATTTTAGACAAAAAATGCTCTAACCGCATAGGGTTAATACTAATTTAACTGTTGTTACACTAATATCCTAAAATATTATGTACTAGCTAAAGGGCCCAGCGTTTCCCGTGAAAAAAAAATTTGAAAAAAAAATTTCGATTTGTTCAGCCTATAACACCCTCTGGCCACCCCTGAGTGTCTGCAAAAAAAAAATTTCATCTCTATCGGTCAAGCAATTTGACCGGCTATAGGCAACATATATATATACGAATGTCTTGTTTTATTGTATATAGATCTACGGAGATCAGGAATATCTAAAATTGTTTAATTGTTTTCATATTTTGTTTCTCCTTAGTTTGTTATTTATTTGAAAAAGGTATAATAAAAGAAGATGTATTTTTATAATGATCCCTTTATCTTTGCAACCTGCTGATGTACCCTAAGAAATTTCAAACTTTGACGATTTGATTCACAGTCTCCGAAATAAAGTTGCAGAGTAACTGTGTTTATGATCTAACAGAAGAAATCATAGTTGATATATTATAGGTCTATTACGTTGATCTGCAACGATATAGCAATTAGAAAATCAGAGTTTCTGGCAAAAGCTCATTTTCTTGCAAGCATATATAAGCATTTTACTATTTCAGCCAAGAATTCAGTTCATTTATTTCAATATTGCCATTTTCATTTTTTAAATGCAGAAAGGAAAAGCTTAAAAACAATTCAGTTCATTAATTTATTTATTCTGGCTTGGTAACTATTTATTTNATTTGAACATATCAGTTGGGACATACATAGATCCATGAAATCTTCGTTGTCACGTGGTACAGACGGAAATCACGTGACTGTACTTTCTTTAAGATAGAAAAGATAGGAAAAGCTATATCACAGACAACTGTTCAAAGATAACCGTTAGGAATTGGACGTGCTAAACTACTATGTCTGCAGTATATTTCAGCTTAAAGCATGTGCTTTTACAGTTCACAGCCCAATGAATTACAACAAAAAGTTGGATAAAAAAAATTGGAAGAATTTTAAGGAAAACTAAGAATTTTCAAAGTTTCTAAAATTTATGGAGCTCCAGACATTTTTTGTCGAAGGGGAAAAGATAAAAATATTTATAAATTTTGTTAAAGTCAATTTATATGAGAATACAAAAACTTTTCATCCTTTTTTTCAGAGGTTTATTTAGTAGAGTAAATTGTACTATTTTTATAATACCCCCCCCCCCTTGAAAAAGTTCCTGTGTACGCCGCGGATTGAGTAAACTGAAAAGCAACATCGTGACTGAAATGAAAATTGGAAATACAGTAGTAAGCAATTATATCAATACAATGATAACGACGTTTTTATTTAAGTTTTGATTGTTAACAAGCTTTTTTCGAATTACAAGTTTACAAGTTTACAAGAGAAGCTTTTTTTATTGATAAATTCTTGACTGTGTATCCATGCTAACAGCTTAATTTACATCAAAATATAATTCGAAAGTCGTCTTCATTGTATTGATATAATCGCCTATCGCTGTATGTAAAAGAAAAAATTTAGAAAACCCTAAACATCTAAAACTTGACAGAACGGATGTAATTGAATGATAGAATAATTAGAAATAAAAGAAAAATGACTTGAATGGTAAATTGAACAGGTGAACAGTAATGAAAGGAATTTCTAGAATTGTTAAAATAGTTTTCTTCGAGCTTTACCTTCTAATTATACAAGGTCAAGGATTTTTCAGCATTTACAACAACATTCATACTATTTTCAATTCTGCATATTGTATTTAGTTAAAACAAGTTGTAAAAAAGGAGTGCGCCCTATTATTTTCTCAAAGGGACTGTAAACGTAATTTCAAGTGACCTTTCTTGCAAAGATGGCAATACCCAGTTCACAACCGTATACCCTTAAAAGCTTTTTCAAGAATAAATAATATATCAATGTTTATGATTTATAAAACTGAATATTTTATATTGTGGGTTCTACTGCTGAAAAAAATATATGAATTATCAAAAGCTAAATTCACTTTTAAACTGACAGCATCTTCCATATTATTTGTCATCTTTGCATAAAAGGGCAGTTGAAATCTATTACGCATACGGACCCTTTCAGATAAATTTCAAAAATACACCAACATCTGATTTTAGAAATGGAATTAATAACATAAAATATTTTGGAAAGGAACCCAAAAAATATTCAAGAATGAGGTCGGAATGGAACATATTGAAACGGAACTATAAAAATATAATTAGGAATGAGTTTGGAATGGAACATATTGAAACGGAACTATAAAACCATATTTAGGAATGAGGTTGTAATGGAACATATTGAAACGGAACTATAAAAATATAATTAGGAATGAGTTTGGAATGGAACATATTGAAACGGAACTATAAAATCATATTTAGGAATGAGGTTGTAATGGAACATATTGAAACGGAACTATAAAACCTATATTCAGGAATGAGGTCGTAATGGAAAATATTGAAACGGAACTGTAAAAATATATTCAGGAATGTAGTCGTAATGGAACATATTGAAACGGAACTATAAAACTATATTCAGGAATGTAATCGTAATGGAACATATTGAAATGTAACTATAAAACTATATTCAGGAATGAGGTCGTAATGGAAAATATTGAAACGGAACTATAAAACTATATTCAGGAATGTGGTCATAATGGAACATATTGGGATGGAACTATAAAAGTATATTCAGGAATGAGGTTGTAATGGAACATATTGAAAATGAACTATCAAACTATATTCAGGAATGAGGTCGTAATGGAACAACCTGAAATGGAACTATAAAACTATATTCAGGAATGAGGTCGTAATGGAACATATTGAAACGGAACTATGGAACGCGGTTCAGAAAAAGGACATCGTCAAAATACAATCATTCCAGGTAAAATAGGTTTATTTATGAAGTACAAGAGTTAAGTGAAAGAACTGAGTTCTTGCCACAAGAGGTTTGTTTACCCCTATATATCTATTGTAAACCTTTCATATTTTGAACAATGATTTCTTTTGGATAAAATAATCAAAGTTAGAAATATCAAATATTTGCAAAGATATAGGGATATACAATCTTTGAGCTGCAAGAACTCAGTTCTTTTGTTACTTTGTCATATTTTTAATTATTGTTTGTTTTTTAATCTAGCTATGCCAAGGTATTAGTACAATTTTTATTGAGCCAACTTTCCTAATGAGGACTTAAACTAAACTAAAAATATGAAAGCTACAAAAATCAAAATATGTAAGGTTAAAATTTCTTATTTCTAATCTTCAACTTCAGGGCGGACGAGCACACCAGCTAATTAAGGATTGGCCTTTTGTGGAGACTTGTGTTAAAGAAGCAATTGAGGTTTTTTTTTATTTATTGAGGATTAAAAAAAAAAAATTTTCAAGATTCTTTTGTTATGATTTCGTACAATTTACAAATAAAAAGTTTTTAACATTTTTAAGCCTAAATAAAAAGAACTGATTTCACTGCCAAATTTTTTAATATCTCAAAAACGTAATGATGTTTTATATTTTTATTTCTTAATTTCAAATATCTTAGACATATGCCATCAGGTTGTAAAGCTATAGGAATAAGAAAACTAGTGTAATTAGTTCCTAATAATTTGTGATCAAATTTCAACAAAACATTTTTTTTTCAGGGTTTTCAATTTTTTTTTAAAATTTTGTTTGTGTCAAAAAAACCTGAATTGGAATACGATGGTCGTCCTTTAAATTAATACAATATACCAAACTTTCAAATAGCATATTAGAACAAAGCGAAATTATCAATTTTAACAACTTTTCTTTCTTCAATTTATAATTTGAAAAAAGCTTGTTATAAATCAATCGAAAAAAATAATAGGATTAATGCGCAATTTTGTTGAACAAATTGATTTTTTCCATAGACTGGTGATTGGGAACTTGTGAAAGCTCTACTGCTCACATTTTGCCATGAAAATTCAGAGGCCTTCCAGGTAAATACATTTTGTTCGTAATGTCTAACATATTGAGCGTATTTTATGAGATAATAATATCTTCTATATTTTGAAATTTTGTAAAGGTTTGATTTTACGAGAAGAAGATAAATTTAATAATTTTAATAATTTAAAAAGCAAAAATATTTGACTGTTGACCCGGCCCTAAAACATTGATTATTTAAACATTTGAAGGTTCATGTATTCAGTAATAACATTTTACAGGCTTTTTATAAGTAAGAATCATGTATCTGCAAGATGCCACGACCAATTCATTCATTCATTCATATATTTATTCACCTACAAAGCATGAGATATTACATATAAGCAATCACAATTTAATATGCAGTTTGGACCCGCATAACCAGAATTGGTTGTTTTGAGTCATTTGTTTATACAAAAATAGACACATGAAGAGTTTAAGCTTTATTATTTTAGTTCAAAAGTTTAAAGTGCGTATTTCACAAAGTAATTGAGTCGTTGCTACAAACTCAAATCTTCTCGAATCCCTATTTCTTTGCAACCAGATGGTGCAAACCTATGCTATTACAACTTTGATTATTTGAAATAATTTTTAGTTTGAAATATCGGAGGTCTGCAACATTGGGTTGCAACAATATAGAGATAAGAAAATCAGAGTTTGTGGCAAATCTCAATTTCTCTACACAGTTATAGAGTTTCAGTTGATAAAATATTGTTAACCTTGAACGCTTTATTTTGGCATCCAATTGGGAACTTTTAAACTTGTGGATCAATAATTGATACCTGAATACATCCTATCCCTATTTGCTGAAGGGGATAAATCCCGAGATTCACAAAACATAAGATGGAGATCAATGCTTGATCCCGAGATTCACAAAACAAAAGTTCTTAATTCAGTTTCTGTACCGGGTACCTCGTGTACCGTGTACCGTGTACCTTTTAGGCATGTCATTGTTTGAATGAAGGCTCACTTGAGATCCGTCAACAATCCTTTCTATTTTCTCATTTTGTGCTGTTATTCGAGGTTGGAGAGTTTGCTATTGTTGTATCTACAAGTCTGAAGAATAAAAGTATGATGACAAATATTCTTGAATTCTGGTTTGAAAATAATAGCTTTCAGGTAAAAAAAAAATTTTATAAAAAAAATTGTATTGCTTTGTTAAGGGTAAAAATCATGACTATTAATTTCACAAAAATACCAAAAAAATTGCCACATTTAAGAAAATAGTTTAAATTGTGGTCACTGATTTTTTCATAAATAAAAGAATTCAGTTTTTTGGTAAGATAATGTAAAAGATGTATATCATTGTTGTTCTCATTTTTTATAAGAGCAAACTTTCGGCAAACTCTAATTCTTATAATTCCTATATCTTAACAGTCTCACCTATAGATACTTCAAACAATGAATTCTGTAAGATCAAATTATCTTAGTTTGAAATTTCAAATATCAGGTTGCAAAAATATAGTGATGAAAAAATTTGAGTTTGTGGCAAAGACTCAACTCCATTTTATAAAACAAACATAGTGGTGCAATAATTAACAAAACTTGTTTTTAATGAGTTTATTCAAAAAAATTTCATTTTTAAATATTGGAAATTTCTATATTTGAAATAATCTGGTGGAATTTCCTTTAGATCTTTACTCCTCTTGATGTGGTAGCCATTGCTATACAGGTGAAAGATAAAATGCATGAAAATTTTTTAATAATTGAAAAAGAAATTTAAAAGTCATTTGTTGTATATTTAATACAACATATTTTAATTATTATCTTAGTTAAATAGAATATATTTAAGTCGTTTTATTTATTTTAATCATAAAAAAATGTTTCAAAAAAATAATTGCGATAAGATATTTTACAATTGACGCAAGATATTGAATCGTGTAAAAAGTAGTTTTTAAAGGGAATGAATTTTAACTTCTTGTTTTAGGCATCCGGGCCAATTAAATCAAGAAAACATTCTGTCCTAGAGGTAATAATAATGATTCATATTGTTTTTTAATTACTGGGTATGGGGGTAATTTACTCCTCCTTTAACCACTTTTATTCAAGGGTAGCTAACTAAGTTGAGGTAAAACCTTCCAATTTGAGTAATCAATTTTTAAATAAACAAATATAGAAAGCTCATTCAACCTTCATTAGATAATGCTTTTTAGAGTACCATCGCGTGTGGGACATATTCCAATATTTTTATTAAAAGTCTATTGAAATTATGAATCTGTTTTTTTTTCAGACGAAAACCATTACACATCTGATTGAAACTGCAATATATGTTGCTACAGTAGATAAAAGCCATGAAGTATTAAAGCATGCTCTCCAGTGGTATAGAGACAATAAACCAAAGGTAATGCAACAAATTGAACGTGAAATAAGCGATTTATGGTAAGCGATTTTTTGTCGCCTAATCGGGTACCATCCGACTTTTTCACCTAATTAGGCGAATTTTATAGATTGATTCCGGCTTTTTAATTAGAGTGTGATAGACAAATTTTAGATTTCGATACGGAAAAAAGCATAAAAATATTTAATTTGATTCTATTCTGTTCTTTTCTTCTTCTTTTCTTTTCTATTCTTTTAAAACCTTTTCAATTCTATTATATTGTATTCTATTTTATTATATTATTGTTTAGGTACAGCTACTGTACACTGTATTGTTTAGGTAGAACTCCTGTACAGTGCAGGATTCAGATTAGGACCTGATACCACAAGAAGAGTGAACAAGGGATATTCTTGATAAAAAACGTTCAAAATAGTTTTTCACAATTCTTGAAATCCAAGGTGAATTTAAGGGACCCTTTATGTTAAAGTATAATTTTCAATCCAGAAAGGGTTTGAGATAATTTATTGAAGGGTAACAAGATCCCTGAGCTATATGGTTTCAGTCAAAGATTCCTTTTCTTGGTAAACCCATATGAAGTTTTTGTATCTTATTGTGCAATTCCCTATAGTTTAGCAAAATATCCTCAATACGTCAGGATCATCTGAAAAAGATCAAACTATTCCGAGCCCGAGCCAGTGCAGTTTATCTAACAATTTAGACCCCCCACGGTTGATGTCCAAATATGGCAAATGATTCATCATTGGAACCCTCTTATGCTCTACTTTTAGAATTTGCAAAAAAATTGCAAATTTGCAAAAATTTAATTTTTTTTTGCTATATTCAGAATAAAGAAAAAATGTTTGCAACAAACAAATGTCCAAAAAATGATAAAATATTCATTTAAAAAAAAACCTTCCCTGGCCAAATATGGAAAAGAGTTTACGAAATTTGAAAATAACCTGATGTGTAATTAAGAAAATCTAAAAATAAGCAAATTTCTTTTGACGGGTTGTATGCAAATAGTTTGCAAAAATTTCTTTGCAAAAGTTGTGCTATTCGTTTGCTTATGTCATAAGCTTTCCAAAATGATAAAAAATTATCCAAATCTGACAACTAAAAATGGGTCAAAACAAAGATTTAGTTTGTTACAGAAAAAAAGTAGTAATGCAGACAGTGTACCTGAGGACTCAGGCAGTTAGTATAAAAGCCTGTTTTTAGACCTAAAGAGAGGGCTATGGTTATTTCTTGTTTTAACCCAACGAGGTTATTTCTAATCAAATAGATTCTAGTACTTGATAATCTATTTGGTTTTAACTGAAACTGATAATATAGATATACATATTATAGACTTGTTTTTCAGGCCCGACGTTACGCGAATAAAATTCAAGACTTTAACTCTGAGTTCAATGCAGTCGCTGATAAATGTGAACAGTACGCGATTGAACTCCTCACAAAGTGTACAACTAAACATGAAATACAAACATTACTCCAAACCAAATCCTACAAGTAAGAGACTTAATTGAAATTAATCATAAGTTGTAGAAGTCAGGAGTTAAAAAGTTATTACTCCTACTAATATAGCTCAAAGTTCTTCTTATTTCACTGTACAATAATGAATATTAATTTTGTAAATAAATATGCTCTAGTTTACAAGGAGAGTAAGCGTAATGTTAAGTGACCCATAAAAAGATGGCAATATCGGATTTACAACGGTATCCCCTATACTCTCATGGGAAATGTGAAACATACCGTCCACTCCTGTATGCCGATTCCATTAGCACCTGATCCAATCAGGGTTCAGCCATATGTTTGTTGTCTATCCTGAACCAATAGAAATAGTATGGTGGTAACATCTATCTTTCTATCTATCTCATTATCCAATTAGAGTTATGAATCCTTCAATCGGCGCTATCAGTAAATGGAAATATTTACTTCTACTGAAACTATGTTACGTCAAACAGTGTTTAATTCTGATAATTTCTTAATTTCTTCTTCTAAGAAAAAATGTGCAAGTAACTTTGACAAGGAAACCGAAAATGAAAATGAACTGTTTGAAGAAACAAAAACTTAAATGTCTGTCATATCAAAATATTCTATTCAAGCTAATTACTGATCAAGGATGTGTTTAAAAATTCAGGCAAAAATGTAATAATTGATGTTGTGCTTAAAAAAATACGAAATATTTTGTAATTTTTTTTTTAAATATTAGCTGATTATATATATATGCATATATATATAGACAGTATACACATGAGTAAGAATTAGGATTTCAGCATGGTTATTTTGAAAAGAGAAAACGACTCATTTTGTTGATTAAATGCAACTTCCAGTTTACAAAATAGAAAATGCTATTTATATAGGGTATTACTGAGTGTATATGAAATGTAATTTACAGTGGTCCCCAATGAACTGTGGAATACATGCAACGACCTTTGATTTAAGTAGATAAATACTCGTTAAAAGGGAATTTTCTTTAAAAAATAAATAGAGTGTTTGCCACAAACTCAGATCTTCTAATCCCTATATCTTTGCAACCTGATAGTGTGCATTTTTATCATATCAAACTTAGAGTATCTGATCATAACAGAACTCTTAACTTGAAATATCTAAAGCCGACGACATTGGATTGCAGAAATATAAGAATTAAAAAATCCGAGTTTGTGGCAAAGACTCCATTCATTTTACATTATTCTGTAAAATCCTGCATTTGCATCTAGGTAATAGGTTCTGTCAAAATATCTATATTACAAAGTTTATGAACTTTCTATACAACTAAAAACTTAATTTATTTTAGGGGTCATCATAATGCAAACTTTAACATCGCCATCTTGGACGGACACAAGGAACTTGTGGCGCATGAAAAGTTTCAACAGCTGTTGCACAAGAAGTGGGGTCAGAGGGATAGAGTGCACTATGCAGACGACATTCGTTTTAATATTTTCTGGTATACTATTTGCATGTGTTATTTTCTGGTATAATATTTGTATACAGGGTTACCCCCCCCCATGTGTTATTTTCTGTTATAATATTTGCAAAAAGGGTTACCCTTCAATGTGATATTTTTTGGTATAATATTTGCATTCAGGGTTACCCCCCACTGTGTTATTTCTGGTATATATTTGCATACAGTGTTACCCCCCACTGTGTTATTTTCTGGCATAATATTTGAATTCAGGGTTACCCCCCACTGTGTTATTTTCTGTTATAATATTTGCATTCAGGGTTACCCCCCACTGTGTTATTTTCTGGTATATATTTGCATGCAGGGTTACCCCCCACTGTGTTATTTTCTGGTATAATATTTGCATTCAGGGTTACCCCCCAATGTGTTACTGGTATAATATTTGCATTCAGGGTTACCCCCCCCCACTATGTTATTTTCTGGTATATATTTGCATTTAGGGTTACCCCCAAATGTGTTATTTTCTGGTATAATATTTGCATACAGGGTTAACCCCCACTGTGTTATTTTCTGGTATAATATTTACATACAGGGTTACCCCCCACTGTTTTATTTTCTGGTATAATATTTGCATTCAGGGTTACCCCCCAATGTGTTACTGGTATAATATTTGCATTCAGGGTTACCCCCCCCCCCACTAAGTTATTTTCTGGTATATATTTGCATTTAGGGTTACCCTCCAATGTGTTATTTTCTGGTATAATATTTGCATACAGGGTTAACCCCCACTGAGTTATTTTTTTGTATAATATTTGCATACTGGGTTACCCCCCAATGTGTTATTTTTTGGTATAATATTTGTGGGTTACCCCCCACTGTTTTATTTTCTGGTATAATATTTGCATTCAGGGTTACCCTCCAATGTGTTATTTTCTGGCATAATATGTGCATACTGGGTTACCCCCCAATGTGTTATTTTCTGGTATAATATTTGCATACAGGGTTACCCCACACTGTGTTATTTTCTGGTATAATATTTGCATTCAGGGTTACCCTCCAATGTGTTATTTTCTGGTATAATATTTGCGTACAGGGTTAACCCCCACTGTGTTATTTTCTGGTATAATATTTGCATTCAGGGTTACCCCCCACTGTGTTATTTTCTGGTATAATATTTGCGTACAGGGTTACCCCCACTGTGTTATTTTCTGGTATAATATTTGCGTACAGGGTAACCCCCCACTGTGATATTTTCTGGTATAGTATTTGCGTACAGGGTTACCCCCCACTGTGTTATTTTCTGGTATAATATTTGCATTCAGGGTTACCCCCCAATGTGTTATTTTCTGGTATAATATTTGCGTACATGGTTAACCCCTACTGTTTTATTTTCTGGTATAATATTTGCATATGGGGTTACCCCCCACTATGTTATTTTCTGGTATAATATTTGCATTCAGGGTTACCCTCCAATGTGTTATTTTCTGGTATAATATTTGCGTACAGGGTTACCCCCCACTGTGTTATTTTCTGGTATAATATTTGTGTACAGGGTTACCCCCCTTTGTGTTATTTTCTGGTGTAATATTTGCGTTCAGGGTTACCCCCCAATGTGTTATTTTCTGGTATAATATTTGCGTACAGGGTTACCCCCATGTGTTTTAGGTATCAGAATCATTGTCTCATCAGAATCATTGACTCATCAGAATCATTGTCTCATCAGAATCATTGTTCTACTAGATGACAGAGACAAAGAAATCTTTGAAACAATTTCAAATTTTCTGATCCTGATATCTTTGCAATTTGAGTCTGCAAACCTTTGATATTTAAAACTAAAAAATTCAATCATAGCAGAATTTTTAACCAGAAATATCAAAGGTCCACGACTTTTGGTTTCAAAGGTATGGGGATTAAAAAATCAGAGTTTGTGGAAGAACTGAATCCCTTTCAAGCTAAAACTATTCAAATTAAATCCCTGAATGAAAAAAAACTTTTTTAAGAAAATGTTCTCCCATTTTTCACAAAATGGGACCCCGCCTCTTGAACCCTTTTGCTTGATTATCAAATAATTAGAATATTTTCTTTTAGGTCTGAAATGGGGAAAACTCAAAAACTTTGTCACTTTCTGAAGCAAATCGGCTTTTACCTTCTTCTCCCTCTCATCTTCCTCATTACAACCTTCCTCCCCTGTCTAGAGAAAAATGAACTCTTCCGAAATATTTTGATGCAATCTCATGTTCCCGTCAACAGGAAAGAAACTTTAACATTTAAAAAAAATAAAATTTCATGAGACCAAAAATGTGGATATTTTGGAAGTACATTTAATGATTTTATAAATATATGATAAATAACAAGTGTATTAAAGGAGAGGAATATGTGTAGGTCTTTTGTGGTCCCAGAATCCGATGCGCTCTGATAGGGCTGGGCGCATTAACGGTGGAACGATTCCTTTTTATTAAAAAATTGTAAATTTTTAATTTTTAACCAACTCTGTTCTATAAAACTTTTGTCTTTGATGTAATTGTTCGTTACTAAGAACGGAACGGGGGATGGAAACGTTCTTAATTAAGAACAGAACAAGAGGGATGCAACCGTTCTTCTACTCAGAACGGAACGGAACGGGACGGAATGAGAACGGAACGATAAAAAAAGAGGAACGAGAACGGAACGATTTAGCTGAAGGCCCTTGTTCTAGAACGGAACGGAACGATTTCAAAAAAGTCGGAACGTGTCCAGCCCTACGCTCTGATCTGCCGATTTTATAGTCCTCTTTAGGGGATTTTATCCTCTACAGAAGTCCACCCTTCCCAAGTCTCGAGCATAGAGGGAGTGGAAACTGATAAATATGTCCTTGTAAGTGTTTACGGAAAAGGAGTAGAAGGAGTTCTGGTGATAATAGTTTGTTATTCATGTTCACGATCAATTCCCCACATCATGATCAACTTTGTGTAAGTCTGGCTATTGGCCATTTGAAAAGAGATCAGTGGTAGTGAAGGCTAGGCGGGCATATGAATTAAACTGTATAGAACTTGCGTCCAGAATATCTACGAGTATGTTAAAGGTGGTAGATGAGTTGCTTGTTGGCTCCAGAAGTAGTTGTGTTATAGCTGATTAGCGCCAGGAGTAGATGTGTAGCTAATGAGCTCCTGGAGTAGCTGTGTAGCTGATTAGCGCCAGGAGTAGATGTGTAGATAATTAGCTCCTGGAGCAGATGTGTAGCTGAATACCTCCTGGAGAAGCTGAAGTTTAGCTTATTAGCTTCAGGAGTAGCTGAGGTTCAGCTTTTTAGATCCTGGAGTAGTGAAGGTTTAGTTCATTAGCTTAATAGCTCCAGGAGTAGCTGAGTTTTAACTTATTAGCTCCTGGAGTAGCTGAGGTTTTGTAGAATGAAGAAAGGTTAAGCTTGAGAGTGTCTTCCTCTTCCAATTCTTGGACTTTTTCTGACCAGGAGGCTGTCTTTGGCTATGGTTCGTTTGTTGTCTGGGGTCACCACTTCAGAAGTACATTTATTGCTTCTATGTAGATGTAAAAACATGATAAATAAAAAAGTATTTTAGATGAGAGGAAAATGAGTATAAGGCCTTCTCTGGTTTCACAATCTGACGCTTCTGATTTATGGATTTCATAATCCTCTTTCGGGGATATGGCACGGTGGACTAAGCCAGTGGGGTCGGTCAAATAGGCCTAGGATTAGGCCGGGTACTGTAAAAAGTCTGAACACACCATGGGAGTTGTCATAGTTAGCCCTCGCTATGCCAAGAAAATTGACCCCTGTCGTATGTTAGTCTGGTTAGGGCGACATACTGTACCATAGGATCAGGTCAGTACACGCTGTTATCAGGCAGGCAGGTTCGAATTCAAATTTACTACGAGGATAGAGTGATAGACCTTTAATTTACAATATCGCCTTTTTATTCAAGAATTTTTTAGGCTCAACTACAGGAAAAAAAGTTAAGGATCAATGTTGATGTTTAAAGTTTCTAGATTTTTATATTTTGAACTTTCAAAAGTTCTTTTTAATCTTATCATCTTTTGTACCCTCATTGATGAGCAGGTAAAATTTGAATTACTTTTATTGTAATTATTATTATTNCTGTTCAATTTCTAAAGCCAGCTAATTTAAAAAAAAAAATTAGATTCATAACTTTTTGAAAAACTCATACTTTATTCGAATTTTACAAAAAATCATTTGGATTACCTTGTTTTACAAGTGACGAAGTTTTGGTGGGTTAAACAATGACTGAAGTATACACATTATATTATCATACACAACAACAACAACAATAATAAAAATACAAAAATATTTTGAACTTTTTATTAAAACATAAATTGGCCTTTTTGTTTTTAATTTCGTATCGTGTGATGACCTTGTTTGTTTACTAAAACATTTAGATGTTTTATTCTTTGGAAAACCCGTATTTTTACAAAAAGGTTGTTAATGGAGATCTTGGTTCTTTTGCAGTTCTTGATGGGATTGCAGAGGATAGGATAAATTTCCTTGCAGGGGAGATTTCTGTTAGTTTCGAAAAAGTGCTCAAATTTTGCTTAAAATCAGACTTAGCAAAATGAAGAGCACACACTCTGCTATCTCCGATTTCATTAGTGTCGTCAATTTTCAAAGAATTCAGCCACAATTCCTGCTTCTTTTTATTCTTTGGAAATTTAAATCTGGATGTCCCAGGGGGCGGACGGCATCCAGGCACAAAACAAGTTCTTCGCCTGCCCCCTAAATGAAAAAATAATCAATGAAGACCAAAAATATTTATCATTTAATTCATAATAATGTAATGTTGACTTAGTATATGTTCATAGTATACCTTTAAAGTACCCCCCCCCCTCCCACCTTGATGGATTTAAAATAGATAAAAAAATCTCTCGTTTTTTATCAAAACAAATCACACAGACATCCATATTGCGAAATCTCACAAAACACTTTGCAGATCCAAAATTTTGGCTGAAACGGATAACATACATAAAATGTACAAAAATTTGTGAATTTTTTGGTTATTTATGTGTATATGTAAAAAATCAAAATTAGAAAAATCTGGGAAATCGATTTTTCGGCTCATGGCTCCATAATTAAAGAAGTGATTTTAATATAAACAGAATGCCTGGAAATAACTGAAATATTAAGATTTCTAATGTTAACATGATTGTGAACATTTAATCAAAATTGTTGCCTCAGTACCGACAGTTCCCAATACCCCTACTCCAAATTTTAGTTTGGGACATCCTGTTTATAATATACTAGAAATTCAAGGCGCTTCGTGCCCTTCTTTCCAGCCTTAGAGGGCGCTTCGCGCCCATCTTCTAAATTAATTGTGAACAATGTTCTCTCTGTGTACATCGTAAAACAAAACAAAAATAATTCGCGGATTTTCACAAAAATTTCGTGGATTTTCAAAATTTTAAAAAAATTAATGAAGATCGAATTTTGATTGAGAGAAATATTTAAAATTTCAATCATTCATAAACCTTCCCTGGGGTCCCTAGATGTCCCACAAAAAATTTGGGCCCGATCGGTTCAGCCGTTTTGACGTTTATTGGATACAAACAAACAGACAGACAAGCCAAATTTATATATAGATATCTACATAGACTTTCCAATAATTTCCTAATTAACGCACTTTTGAAAATTTTTAATATATTTCTTACGTGATCCCAAAAATAGTAAAATACGACATTTGAGAAAAATTTCTTGTTGCCTGTATTTCCCCCGGATCTGGGGGTTTATCCACGATTAGATCGTTCCAGAGCACTTCTCCAAAGATATCATTAAACATTTCAGAAATATGTTAGGATGTTATACTTTCGAATTACAATGTTAAAGAGTTATGTACAATATCAGTTTCAACCCCGTTATTTAGTCTATAGAACGTTAAATGAAAAAGTGTAAAAACAGAAATAAAGAGCATATAAAGTTGTACTAATTTCACTAAAAGATAAGCACTTTAGTCTAAAAATATCACTTTTATTTACAGTTTTGTCAGACAGAAAATTTGAGTTGACGTTTATACAGCTGTTCTGAAAGTGTACGCATTCTGTGTTGCCGTCTATTGTACTTGACAACCTATTTGATTATTATTATTATTGTTTTTATTATTATTATTATTATTATTATTATTATCATTATTATTATTATTATTATTATTATTATTATTATTTAAGATTTCAGGCAAAAAAGTTTTAAAAGTTTTTTTTTAAAAATTTAAAAGACATTAAAAAAGACTATCAGCGTAGTTTTAGGGGACCCTCCATAAAAAACGATACTTTGCCCTTCATCTTTAACAGGATGATGTTGTTTTTTAAATTCTTCAAATTTTCTGCCTTGTCTTTACTGCATAAATCTGCAATTCACAATTATAGATTGAACGCTATTATGGAAAATTATCAATTTTCAGATTAAAAACCATGATAGTTTGCTCAAAAAAAAGGTTGAATATTTTAGGATAATACATCGAACATTTAGATGTTGGGTCTTTTTAAAATACGTCGATAGTAAACCCATTATAACTAAAAAATTTTGATATAATTATCTTTTCCATTGATCTGTTGAAAGCTTTTTCTAGAACAGTACATCGTTTATTTAAGCAAGGTGATGGTATCGAGAACGGGTAAGCTTAATGTTGTTAACATCTGACTTGTAAAACTAAAGTGACTTGCACTTTAACTATTTTAAACACTTTTATTTTTGGTTTGCAGTGATTTGAATTTTTTGGACTTAAATTTTCTCTTTATCGAGAAGGTTCAAGCCTTTTTAGATTTAATATAAAATATAATCTAAAAAGGCAAGGACTTCGACATAGAGAAAATTTAAGTCCAAAAACTACTACATAGCAAGTCGTGCCAAAATAATAGTGTTATAGGTAATTCTATGTGTAGTCTTATTTCAATGGCTGTTTCAAGATCAAATAAGCTTTGAAACAAAGCAGAAATCAAAATATAACGTTGATTTCAATTTTATTTTCATTTCAATTGGAAAAAAATTTGAAAAATATCCTAAATTTTTTGGAGAAAATCCGGGAACCAATCAAAACTTTGTAGCACACGTGCTATAATGCACATCTAATTTAGCATAACAGCATGATAATTACTGTATAGAACGTTCATAATGAAATTCAGGATTGAGTGACTTAGAATGATAAAGTACGCTATAGTTTTAAAAAACATATTTATATTCTTATTCTTATTAAAGAACTTTATGAAGATGAACAAAGAAGAAAAATCTTCTAAATGTCTATTATGTAACCGGTGTAAAATTAGAATTGGAGGAGCTTCAAGGTCACAAAGTAATTCCAGGAATATCGCATAAATATAACCTTCTTCTACTATCTAGTTCACAGTGCTGATCATCTCAACCAAAAATCCTCAAACAAATGTTTCCGTTTTTACGTATTTTTGATTTTGATTCAATTTGTCCACCAGGCTGAGATCAAACATGTTGCAAAAATATTTATTTAGTGGGAAAACTCTGCAAAGATGGCTGACATTCCGCAACATGTATATCATCATAACAAACATCATCTTCTTGGTGGCCCTAATCCTTAGGTTCAGGGCCCACATGGACAACCAGTGCAGGTTGGTTAGAAACTTTTACAATTAAAGTTACTGTGTAAGAAATTTCAAGTGACCCTCTGCTCTGAAACGTGGAAATTAGGATTCATATTCTGATAACAGATGTTGTAAATATCCTTTTTTATATCTGAAAACTGAGTGTTGAGAAAATAATCAAGGCTTATATATGATACTACTTCTTCTCAATACTTTTTTCAAAGAGACATTCTTATTGAAATTAAATATTTGGATAAAGTACAAAAATATGTTAAGTAAATAGAGGAAATGGCTGGGAAAAAAATGGCTATAGTTGGCTTATTACCATGTACAGTACTGTTGTGAATCATACATGTTACTCCATAAATGAAGGATCCCTTGAAGCAAGGTTTTAATGCAAGGAAAGTTAATTGCAGTTGCGTACATATTGAAACCAGTTCTCTCTGGGCGGAATTTGTAAACAAGAATAGATGCATCAGTGTTTGTTAAGTATCCGAGGAGGTTAAAAGCATTAAATTTTGATAATTTTGATAATTCACATAATAGTTTCCTATGACCAGAATATTTCATTGATTTTTTATGTGAAAGATGGATCCCATGTCAGGCTTCCACATCCGTCTTGTGTTTACATTACCACCCATGAGACAGTACACTGCAGTACAAAAGATGCATACACCTCTGAAATAACTTTCCTTGCATTACAACCTTGCCTTTAAGTAACACCTCTACTGACCAATTATGTAATCTCAAGGAGAATTTAATGTTATTGTTTGAACCTAAATCAAATTATATCTTAAATATCCAATAGTTTGTATAATCTAAATTAGGGTTACAGTAGACGACTCTACTGTTGTATAGGTCCTACTTTATAGTTAAAAGAACTGTAGCGTAATTTCATGTGATCCTTTATGCAAAGATGGCAATGCCCGATTCACAAAGGTTCACATGAAAGTTCTGTTTTATCAAGTATGAATTATATATCAATGATTTGTTTCTTTAAACTATTAATTTTCATTTGTGGTTTCTCTGCGAAAGTGAATATTTCTTGTTTTTAAGAAGCAATGGAGAGACTCACAGAATTAAACACTTTTCGAGAAAAACGACGGTATCTTCCTTGATTTTTGATCTGATTAAGTTTACAAGGGTACCGTTGTAAATTGATCTTTGCCATCGTTGCATTGAGGGTCACTTGAATTTACGCTTTAATTCTATCTAGGAGGGGGTGTGCTTACTATGAAAACCAGATGGCCTTCATTGGATCATGTTTATGGGCTGTAGCTGCTCTGATGACCTTTCTCCGAACTATACAGGTAAGAAATGGAATATAGGAATTGAGTCTTTGACGCAAACTCTGATTATCTAATCCCTGTATATCTTTGCAAGTCAATGTCGTAAATATTCATAAAACAAGTTGATATAAGAAGTTTTGAGCGTACAGTGCGACTCAAAAAACAATCTTAAACAAGCTAATGTGTTTGTTTAATGTTATAAAAACAACTGAGTAAATAAAGATGATCTGTGTCCTCTGAACAATTGTGTATTATATTTAGTAAACAATTAAATATCATAACTTAAGTCTCACAGTCGTCTTTCTATTCTAAAGTAGTTCCTACTGTCTATATATATTTTTTTGTAACTTGTAAACTAGATTCATGCAATGCAGTTTTGTTTTCTGGGTGTGATAATATTTCAAATCAGTGTTTAAGTTATTTAAAGGTTCCTTGGATTTACTTAATAGATGGTATATCCGATTCAGCTCAACTCCCAACCCTTGATACCTTTCATAGTAACGGATATATTCGAACTTTAGACTGAGAACGACGCCACATGATTTCTGAAGGCACTCAATTTTCCGATACAAAAACAATTGATTTCGCTGGCATCCTGCCTAAAAATTGGTTTAAAGGGAACCGTTGTGAATCGGACTTGAAGTGTAACTTTAAATAAGGTGTTGCAGTCCATTTATAATAACATAGAACATTAATTTGATGACATTTTCTAGATTGGATTAATGTGGAGGCAGACGGGTCCGATCATCATCAGTATGACGTATATGATCATAGACGTCTTGGTGTTCCTGTTCATCTTCGTAATTGTTTACATCAGCTTTACACTCTGTACCGTCTACATATATAATGTAAGATTACACTCTGTACCGTGACCGTCTACATATATAATGTAAGATTACACCCCTACCGTCTACATATATAATGTAAGATTACATTCTGTACCGTCTACATATAAAATGTAAGATTACATTTTTGATACAGTCCTATTCTAAATAGCACGGAATAGATATTGGTATAAGAAAAGATAGAAAGATATAATTTATTGCTAAAAATACACAAAAAAGTTTTAAAAGCAAAAAATCTATTTTTATATTGCTTACTATATATTGTATCTATTATAGCAATTAGGTGAAGATTAGCTTTTGCTGTTTTGGGTATCACCACCTAATTAATATTAAAACGTTTGCAATATGATGGATATTTTACTAAATTTTGAAAGTTTACAATAAATAAGATTAAGCATGTACAAAAATCTACAAAGTTCTATATTCAGTTTTTGCAAGAATATTAAGAGGGTTTATTGCACTTTGAGATGTAGGCGCGTCAGATAAATTTTCAAATTAACTTTTTAAAAATATGCCTAACGATTTCTTACTTTTGATAATGCAAACACAGCACTAGAGACCTTGTTTTTTACAACTTTAACACGGTGATTTCAGGTTAGGTTTTCATCAAGATGTATTCCACAAACTTAAAGGATTCATTTTTACAACCAGCACCTAATCTATCTATTTCCTTATTTCCCATGAAAAGTTTAAGTGAGTCACCTACCAGAACTTATTTTAAAGTATATACTTTGTTTTAGAGGCATTTAATGTCAGTTTATTTGCTTTGAACAAGTCTTCAATTTTTTAAAGCTCTAGGTTTGCAAAATCGTATAAACTTTTTAGATTTTCCGAAGAATATTGTAATGTTGTGTCATCAGCAAAAAGTATGGTAAACAGTTTTGATGCGTTTGGAAGGTCATTTATGAGAATTAGGAATAAGATTAGGCCTAATATTGACCCCTGAGGAACTCCACAAAATATATCTTCAAGAGAGGAATTTACACCCTTGATTGGTGTGAACTGCTTTCTTCACTTTAAATAATTTTCAAACCACCGATTGGATATCCCTCTAAACCCATAATGATCTAACTTTTTGAGTGTAAAAAGCTTTAGTTAAATGAATGAAAATTCCTTAACCCTATCCCTGCTGGGGTACTTGAAAACCAGGATACGCTGGGGGGGGGGGGGTCAATTTGACCCCCCCCTCTAAATCCCATGTTTTATGTCCAAATATGACAAATGATACATCATTAGAAAGCTCTTGTGCTGTAATTTTAGAATCTGCAAAAAAATTTGCAAATTTGTGAAAATTGAATTTTTTATCGCAAAATCCAGTTTTATAGTAAAAATGTTTGCAAAAAAAAATTTGTCCAAAAAAATGAAAAATTATACATTTTTGAAAAGCCCTTGACCATGTCATTTCAAATATGCAAAAATTTTTGCAAAATTTTAAATAACCTGATTTTTAATCAAGAAAAACTAAAAATGTGCAAATTTTCTTTGACAGGCTGTTTGCAATAAATTTGCAATTTTTTTTCTCGCAAAACTTGTGCAATCCGTTTCCTTATGTCAAAGGCTTTCCAAAAAGCTAAATTTTATCAAAATCTGACAAGTGAAAGTGGGTCAAAACAAAGATTTAGATTGTTACAGGCAAAAGCAGTCATTCAGGCAGTGTGCCTGAGGACTCAGGCAGTTAGTATTAAAGCCCGGTTTTAGGCCTAAAGGGAGGGCTTTGGGTATGTAAGAAAAGTCAGAAAATTTCAACAGCCTCAGACCAATACTTTTTGAGTTATGTAAAAAAAACTACATGGGGGGGTCAAATTGACCCCCCCCCCCCAGCAGGAATAGGGTTAAGTATACTCAGATACCGGATTGTTTAAGGCTTGGTTAATTTTATCTAGAAGGTGGATTAAAGGCTGAGTAGTGTTATGCTTAGCCCTGAACCCATACTGGTGCTCATAGAGAAGTTTAAATTTATTCAGATATTTCATGATTTGATTTCTCGCTACTTTTTTCTAAAAGTTTTGAAAATAATGAAAGTAAACTAATTTGTCTGTAATTTGTAAATTTATCAGATTTTGAAAACAATGTAGATATATTCAAAGACGCAGAAGAACTTTTAAAAGATGTAAATATTTATGCCATATATGAATATTTGCAATAAAAAGAAAACTTCTTTTAAAACCCATGCTTGAAAAAAATACGATTTTATGTACGAAAACTTTGTTTTACGTCAAACGGCTGAAATATTTACAGCTTAATGTACTGGAAAGTAAAGGTGAGTATTTCTTGATGTATAAAACAGATTTTAAACAAAGTTATCAACAATTTTATTCATTCTTTTTTTTAAAGTAATAAAGCTGTAAACCGCTGATATTCCAAACTTTGAATTAAGATAATGTAAATAATCCATCATGTTGTAAAGATATAGAATGAGCATTTAATATAATTGAAATTTTTATTTTTCTGTTTAGGTTTATGGATCAAATCAAACAACTCACTTCAACACTCACAAATCCGCTTTCAAGCTCTTCTACTGGACAATGATTAGGTAAAGATACAGTGCTTGTTCCCCATTAAACTAAGGAATAGGAAGACTACATTTAAGCAATCTTATGTTTAGTTGATTTTGTTATAAAGCAAAAATATTTACCAGAGCTTAAAACTCTTGTATTTTCTAAATATCGATATCTATAGTGGACACTTTTGATTTTCTGCTTTATCCTCTCTTTTAGACATGCCTGCTGGGTTCCGACCTGTAAGAATTCACTTCATTGATTGAGTACAGATTTTCTTGGCTTTTTATTTGCTGCAGGGTTTCTGAAATCGACTCTCTGATTGGTTGCATTTTAAACATTTTCAAGGATATTAATGTAAGATTATGTTAATCTGCAGATTAATTAAAAGAGAAGATCAAGCATTGATCTCGATAACCACAAATTCAAAGTTTTTAGTTCAGTAGATTCAAAATCAACATGTAAAGTAAAATGGATATATGTACTCTAAGAAATTGCTATGTGCCATTGTTTATTGCACTTTTAATATCAAACAGTCCAACAGTCGTCTTTATGTTCCACAGTTTTAAGGGTTCCAGTGTACACAGCACAAAAACTGTTTAAAGGGAGTGTTTAAGGGTTCCAATGTACACAGCACAAAAACTGTTTAAAGGGAGTGTTTAAGCTGGTTCCAGTGTATACAATACAAAAACTGTTTAAAGGGAGTGTTTAAGGGTTCCAGTGTACACAACACAAAAACTGTTTAATGGGAGTGTTTAAGGAAAAAGTAAAGAAAGTAAAGTGAAACCCTTAATAAAGAATACATCGAAAGAATTCATCAAATGTCGTATTCTTCACTTTCTGATAATGTAATGTGGCAGATATTTAGTTTTTTAATTAAATAATTATATGGAACTCTTTAAAACTGTTCCCGCATATTCATGGCTATTTGTTTATTTTCGCAAATATACTGAAATTATCCGTAATATAGTATAAAACTCATTGAAAAATTGTCAAGACGACATTTGATAAATTCTTCCGATGTATTCTTTATTAAGATAGGTAAACACTAAATTTGTTTTTGGTAAGTTTTGATCTTTCCTTTTTTTGAATCAGATTTGACCTAAACTTTTTAAACGAACTCTACAGTAATTTTTTAAAATTCATATTTTTAAAAATTAAGTAAAAAAAGTGACAATGTAAAGTTTACTAAAGATATTACATTGATAACCAAAACATTCTAAAATGGAAGACAATTTTATCTAGCAACATTATTTTTGATGTTGTTATAAAGCAAATAGTTTTTACTAAACATTTATTAAATAACTAATTAAGTGAAATTTGTCTGTTTACACTGTACAATTGCTGTGGTCTAAACTTATTGGACTATTTAAAGTAAAAAATCTAGTCCAAAAGTCGTCTTCCTATTTTAGAGTTTTCTGGCTCTAACTGTATTTTTTTAACTTTTTTAAGGACTGGTAATCCTCACTTTCCTAACATTAGAGATTTCAACGCTTCACTTCAATCCTACAATTCATCTTGTGTAGCCAACATTATACAGGTTCATTTGTATTATTGCTTTTATCATTATTATTGTTTTATTTTTTATTTTCATTATTATTAATCATTATTTTAACTATTAATAAATATAAATGTTACTGCAGTGGGAAAAATGTTCCTTACGCTATGAGAAACATATCAATTGTGCAGTGCACACAGACCCTTTCTACTTGATAAGTTGGTTTCAGACTACATTTGCATTAGAAAAACTTTATAGAACGTTCATGAGATAACTTGAATGTTCAATTCTTTTTCCTCAGATTCATGGCTCTCATTTTGTATGGACTGATTGCAACGTGTGGAATTATATATATAATAAAGCTCTTCGCTCATATAGATATTTATATATGTAGGCTATAATAGCTAAATAAAATGGGCTGAAGATTTTTTTTTACAGGTTAGAGAGGAGATAGCACTTTATATCACAGGTAAGAGAGGAGTTATTGATTTTTAAAGGTAAATGGAGGGAGTACAATATTTTTTGCATCTATGAAAATAAAATATATTCGGATTGTAAGTTAAAATATTGTTTGGTGTAAAACTAAATTATACATATTTGTTTAGGATAGATTTAAATGTTAACATTGTATGATTTCTGTTCTAGGGAATGTATTGTGGGCAGTGTATCAGTTTATAGTGTTTATTGTACTGCTAAGTGTACTACGGGCTAGGATGGTAAATACCTACCATAGAATATTCAGGTGACTTTTATTGCAGTGAGATCCAGAAAAATATGAAATAGGAAGACGACTTTGAGAATCAAGTTATGACTTTAAACAGAGCTGAAAACTTTAGAATTCAGTCGTCAACCTACTGTGACATGTATGATTCTTGAAACAATAGTCCTGACATTTCCAAAATGTGGTCTGCCTTTTCTCTGCTCTCAATATTACCCGAAATACCCGAATTATATTATATTATATAGAATTATTTAGAATATTACCTGAATTTCGGTCAGAATTCAAATTTATTTATTAAAACCAAAATTGTCGAAATCGGAACAAAATTCCTCGTATATCTCCGGACATATTGAGAGCAAAAAAAATCCAGACCAAATGCATTTCTGAAATGTCAGATGTGTATTTTGTTATTATACACTCTAGAATTTTAATTAATATAATTAGGATTACGAATAAATGTCGCAAATTATTTCAAAGATTAAAGACTATCTTTCATTAATCTTGCTACTGATATGTTTCGTGGGACACTCTGTACTTTACATAGCGCATATGTGTAATTCTAGAAAAGTACTGTACATCAAGTTCAAGAAATATCGTCTTTGTTTATCTACTTCACATTTCTCAAAACATTACTCACAGACAAACACAAAGTACGGTAGGCCTAGACGGTACGTTTTCGTCAGCAGGGTTCATCATCATTATCATTTTTATCAATATCTTTGTCATTTGTTACTTAAAGTAATATTATATTAATTATGTCAATCAAAAGTGTGATTACAATTATTTTAAACAATTTTTCAGAGAAGCTGACGTCCAATGGAAATTCTTCAGGTATGGATATACTTCAAAATCTGCAGCAGGGTATTCTACATCATATTGGCTCGTTTATAGTTCTAAACTGCAAATTTTGGGACTGATCATAAAATACCAGAAAATACTAGTTTTTTTGAGTATTGTTACAATTTTAAAGTGAAAGAAGTTAACCTTAGAACTGAAACTTTAACAAGCTGTTTTAATTACAAGTTATAAAACATTATTTTACCAGTTTATTGTTATATTGGATTGCAAACTTAAATAAGAACCTGAAAGTGGCAGTAAACTTAGATAAACTTAGATAAACTTAGATAAACTTAGATAAATTTAGATAAACTTAGATAAACTTAGATAAACTTAGATAAACAAGGTAAAAATATATCTTTGTGGTATTAACCCTAACAATTAACCCTATCCAAATTTGGCTATTTTTGTCTAATTCAGATGCGGAGGGGGGGATGTTTTCTACTCCCCTTTTGATTTTGCCTTTACAGCTGAGATAGGGGAGTGTGATACATGAGCCAATTCAAACTTTCAGCTCATAAAAATATGAGACCCCGGGTGCAGTTTTAAAAAGTACGTTTGACCGTCCCCACCCTACCCTATGCATCAAATTGTGATAAGGTTAAAGTGATTTAATGATCCGGACTGAACATTTAAAAAAATATATTTTATATACTAATTTGCTTTTGAGAACGTGTTTCTTTAAAAAAGTTATTGACGAAAGCCAAAGTAGAAGTACAGAATAGAATATTTCAATATCATCATTACCTTTGCTGTTTTAATTTGCAGATTTCTTCAAAATGTCGTCTTCACAATATAAGAAAGAAAACCTTCAACAAGCGACCCTAGCGAAAAGAATTTGTTTTTCATTTAAAGTTTGCAGAGTACAGCTTTGTCAATCTGGCATGCGACACAATTGAAGAGTCAATGTAATTAGTAAGAGTGTCGAGTGTCGACTTTATGGTTTTGGTTCTTCGGGAATATAATTTATTGAGGCCCCGAAAAAAACATGTTAGATAATATTTGGGATTTGGCTTTAAACATGGCAAAGATTTATCACAGTGGTAACCAAAATAATTGACCTCGTCTTACTTTATTTTCCTTTCAAATGTCGATTAGGATTTTTTTATTTGTATTTGATGTATTTCTTTTAAAACTCCGTTTGTTGTAACATTTACAAATTATAAAATTCTAGCGATACCTATATAATAAAACAAGACATTCGTATAGATATGTATATATTTATATATATATATATGTATATGTTTGATTGGGCTGAATTTTTTTGTGGACACGTGGGTGGCCGGGCCGGGGTGTTATAGGCTGAAAAAATCGTTTTTTTTCAGCTAGTTATTAATAAAAAGAAAACCAACTACAGTCAATCTTAGATATAAGGAAACATAGCAAGAGCTCATGAAATGTCGTCTTGAAATTCATTAAAAAGTTTAAGACAGCTGTTATAATTTATCATTGTTCTAATGAAAGCTGATCAGATGTTCGCAGCAGTAAATGGTTGAATCCTATCTAAGAAAATATACCAAATACCTTTCTTGAGAGTGATAATATTTTTATAGTACTTTCTATTTTTATTTCAAGTTGCCCTGAAATTTAAAGATATTCAACTCGTTTTTTCCGCGGTATTTTATCTTCAATAAGTTAAGCATAATATTTGCGGTTCACTGCATGAAAATTATTGCACAGGTGTTTAGGTGACTATTGTTATTTAAGTTAAAAACTGAAGAATATTTTAGAGCTTGTATTTGGTGGAAATATCTGGACAATAACTCTATTCTTCCTCCGCCATTTACAATCATATTTCTGATGCACGCAGGATCAAGAAAACTACATAGTTTATATCAACATCAGGTAAACATGGTGGATTTAACTTAAAGGGACTGTAAGCTTAATTTCAAGTCAACCTCCATGCAAAGATGGCAATATCTGTTTTACAATGTCCTTGAAAGCTTGAATGAGTACGAAATAGATGTCTATTTTGGTTTCTTTAAACTGTTAATTTTCAATTGCGATTTCTTTGCCGAAGTTACAATTACGCATTTTGTCCTTATATGAAGCAATTGGGAAACGGTTAGAACTTAATTATTTTTGAGTCAGAAAAACGACAATATCATCCACATATCATACACATGTTTAATAAAATTTCAAAATTTCAAGCTTATCCTTTTAAATCGGGCATTGCCATCTTTTCATGGAGGGTGCATCAAAAAAAGCATTTTGTGAATTTTTTTGCAAAATGGCAATTGGACAATTTTAAATACATATATCTTAATCTTTATCGATATGTATAAAGTACAGTATTCTTTATATTTTCTGTTTGTTTGTTTTGATGATCATAACTCATGAACCTATGTACATGAGTTATGATCAATATAGATTGGTTGACTCGGTAGAATCTAAGGATTGGTTAAACAATTCTAAGTTGTGTGGGTTGACTTGTACGGAAAACCTTAGTTTCCATACAAAGCATAGGTTTCCAAGCTAGAATTTAATAAATTCAAATCCAAAATCTGTTAATTTTTAAATCATGAAAAAGAGGTATTTAAGATCCTAAACTGTTTGGCGTAGATGGGCGGATTTAATTTGTTAGTTTGTTTCAAATACGTCCCAATAAACATGGGAATCAAGAGATGAAATCATCTTTGTTAAAAATTTACCTTTTGTTCCATTGGTAATAATAAACTTAGATCCTCTAGAGCATATTTTATGTAAATTGTAAAAAAGGCTATTTTTTATTTTTTATTATATTTATTTTATTAATTTTTTTATTTCTTATTGTATGATGTTTTGTAACATTTGTGCAAGATAAACAGTGACCATCTGTACTCTGTGTTAAGTTGGAAATCCAAACAAAACAAAAAAAACATATTTTTTAACATTTTTTTTATATTTTTTTCCCAGATTTTTTAAATCAAATTTATTGATATATTATTTAATGCAGAATGCTGATAATCAATTTCCAATCTTCTTGTTTTCTGGCTGTTTTGCTGATTCGATTAGTTGCATACCCCCCCCTAAATTCATTAATATATGTAATCAACTACAAAGCATGAGATATTACAAATAAGCAATCACAATTTACTATGCAGTTTGGACAAACCTAACCAGTGTTGGTTGTTTTTGGCGAAAATACTTTACGAGCCCCCTTCAACCAGTAGGGTTTTAGATAATTTTATGCCCTGGAAAGAAAGAAGTATGAATTCAAATGTTAACACTATCAAAATGAATAAATACACAAAAATGGCGAGTCAATTATATAACATCTATTATAAACTGAATTACTATGTTTATTAAGACACCCTGTAGAATCCTTGACTATGTTAATGTCATTATCATGAAATGCTTGAATGTTATACATTATCCTTTTTGGACTTTGTTTACAAAATGTTTACATTGATGAGCATAAACTTGACATAAGCAAATATTTGCTTTTATTATATTATGCAATTTCGTGATTATCTAAGAGATGTTTCACAGCGTTTTTAAATTGATTCTTATTTGAAATTAAAAAGTTCAATGAAAAATAATATAGGACTGTTTTCCAAAACAGTCCTATACTATTTTACAGAATCATCTTTGAATCAGATTAAAATTCATATGGAAGCTTAAAAACTTGTTACAACCCTATTAACCCTATTCCTTCTGGGGGGGGGTCAATTTGACCCCCCCTGTAGTTTTTTTTACATAACTCAAAAAGTATTGGTCTGAGGCTGTTGAAATTTTCTGACTTTTCTTACATACCCAAAGCCCTCCCTTTAGGCCTAAAACCGGGCTTTAATACTAACTGCCTGAGTCCTCAGGCACACTGCCTGAATGACTGCTTTTTCCTGTAACAAACTAAATCTTTGTTTTGACCCACTTTCACTTGTCAGATTTTGATAAAATTTAGCTTTTTGGAAAGCCTTTGACATAAGGAAACGAATTGCACAAGTTTTGCGAAAAAAAATTGCAAATTTTTTGCAAACAACCTGTCAAAGAAAATTTGCACATTTTTAGTTTTTCTTGATTAAAAATCAGGTTATTTAAAATTTTGCAAAAATTTTTGCATATTTGAAATGGCATGGTCAAGGGCTTTTCAAAAATGTATAATTTTTCATTTTTTGGAAAAATTTTTTTTTGCAAACATTTTTACTATATAACTGGATTTTGCGATAAAAAATTCAATTTTTGCAAATTTTCAAATTTTGTTGTAGATTCTAAAAGCAGAGCACAAGAGCTTTCCAATGATGTATCATTTGTCATATTTTGACATCAAACATGGGATTTAGAGGGGGGGGGGGGTCAAATTGACCCCCCCCCCAGCATATCCTGGTTTTCAAGTACCCCAGCAGAGATAGGGTTAAACTTGGAAAATCACAGAAAAGAAAAGTAAACATTCCTTTAAAAATGTCTATTTTATAAGTGAGCCGTGTACTTTATATTTTCTTTAGTCAGATGATAAGACAAGATAGAGAAATAAGGATTCCAAATTTTTTTCGGATCAATTTAGATTTTTAAAGGCCCATCGGAACCTTGCCTCAAGCTGTTTTAAGAATAATAAACCATTAAAAATACCGGAAATAAAAGGCGGAACCTTTATTTTTAGCGAATTCAGAATAAAATTAGCTATATGATTATTAGCTTCACAATATAGCCAGGTGTGACTGTTAAGAAAGGCTTTACGATTTTTTTTGGGGATATGGAATAATCGTCACGTGAACTTTTTCAGCTCTTTGCTCTACAGGGAAATCGATGAAAAAAAAATTTGCTCGCTAATATTTCAATCCTGACATTTTCGAAACATGGTTTCGTAAAACATATCAATACAATGAAAACGAATAATTATATTTTTGTGTGACTGTTGAAATAGAATTTACGAAATTATTTTTTTTGATATGGAATAATCGTCATATGACATTTTATTGCTCTGTGCAGCATCTACATCAATCCTAACATTTTCAAAACATGGTTTCGTAAAACTACAGTCGTCGTCGTATATATCAATACAATTAAGACGAATTTATATTTTAATTTTAATTTGCATCCAAGCTTTGCATCCAAAAATAAAAAATCTGCTTGGTTTCTGTATCCCCTCCCCCCAGTATACCCCAGTAAAGCCCAGTACTTTGCAGTATATTGTAGTACCCTGTACCCTGAAGCACTCTGTATACCCTGTTACAATCACTTTCCATAAAAAGATTTTCGAATTACAAATTGGTGTTTTTGCCATTCCTCCCTCCATTGAATCATCAGATCAGCTGTTTACTTTTAAACCATCAACAGAATATCTTTTATACTGTTTTACACAAATGAAAATAATGCAAAACTAGAGTAAAGTGCAACCCAGAAAAGCTTCTTTAAGTTCTAAATATTTTTGTTCAAAATAAAAATTCTGTTTGGTTTGCCAACTTTTTTTTGCAGAATCTTTCCTACTTTCTGAAAGGTTTTACATCGGTATGTTTAAGGATATCTACTCGATATAAAGCAATATTTATCAATACTTATTTTGACTCAAACTCTTAACTTAATGAATATAAGAAAATATGCCGGTTTTAGAAAGTTTTAGATAGATATTTGCAATCATCCAGAACAACAAATTTTATCAAAAATTAAACTTTAAAAGTTTAATAAAAGTTTTTAAAAATATGCAAAAAAAATCATTTCTGACACCCCTAGGCTTAGTACGCCAACATAATTCACCAAAACCATACTGCAGTCCTTCAATTATCATACAGGGATATTTTCATCTTTCTAAACATCCCAGGGAAAGATTTGACGGGTTAAACTTGCAAGTTGAAAAACGCTTGCTAGAAATCAACAAAACTGCGTTTTTTTCAGGGAGAACCCCGGTCTGTTCATGAGGAAGATCTATCAGCCTGCAAGCGGGAGTTTATTAAGAAGTACAAAAGATTAATCCTAACATTAATCCAAACCTCGAATTCATCATGGGGGTTCGAGAAGCGGAGCCGACTGGTCTTAAGTAATATGCTGGATGCAAGTGCTGATTAAAGGTTCGAAAGCGGGGATTTACTACATCATGATATCGGCATGATCTGACTTTGCATTCAAGTGCGGATTAAACTGTTATGGCTTTAAACCAGAAAGCTGCGACTTACGGTCACAATTTAAGGGTTACCCACAAAGGCTGACTCTGTAAAAAACTATCTTTAAAATGACGGTTTCAAGGTCAAATTATGTCTTTGCCTTAAATATAGTCTTTTATTAGCAATTATTATATGATTTATCAAAGATAAAAAAAATGTACAGTTGCGGGGAATCAGGATTATAAGGAACCGGACTGAATAAATTTCATGTAGTTGTCTCGTAAGTCTCATTCTTTGTGGGTAACCCTGCATCAAACATTTTTCACTCTTCTCTTTTATACTAAAAATATTAAGAGGTTTGTATCACACACTAAGAAATGTCAAATTTTCATTCAAACAAAATTTCTTTGAGCATTGGAGCCAAATTCAAATGAATAGCTAGCTGAGCTCGATTCTTCGAATGTTGATAAATAATTTGACCAAAGATGATACTTACTTGAATTTGGCTCAGTTTCTGATACTTTTTTTTGGCAATTTGACATTTGTATAAGTGCATATCAGATATGATCTCTAGAAAAAAACTTATCTCTCCAATACCAAATTTCATTTGCGTTAAAGAAGCCATTTATAGAAAGTGTCGGGAACTTATTGCAAAGTAACCCTTTAAATCTTTGTTTCGCAATGTAATATTCATTATCTTAGTAACTTTGAAGACCGGTGAAAAAATAACATTTGTAATTTTTGTGATGTAAATATAATGTACTGCAGTATANATATATAGTGTACTGTAGTATATATAGTGTACTGCAGTATATATAATGTACTGCAGAATATATAATGTACTGCACCCATTTCCAATGTTGCAACTTTTAGCAATACCTTAATTATATGAAAAATTAAAATCAAAATATTTTTCATTAAATTTATTCCACAAAACAAATTATAGATTTATAAATGATATAAATATTAAAAGAACATATAATTTCATATATTTGTTAAAAATTATAAAAAGCAACATCATTAAACATTTAAAAGATTTCAGTAATCAAGAATAAAATTTTCAATTTTTTAAGAAATAGTAGATTTTTAGCCAGGGAAGTCCTTCAGCCTGGTTGGGATACTATTTGAGCAGATTTGTCCTGCTTCAGCAGGTTTGTCCTGTTTCAGCAGGTTTATCCTGCTTCAGCAGGTTTGTCCTGTTTCAGCAGGTTAGTCCTGTTTCAGCAGGTTATTCCTGTTTCAGCAGGTTAGTCTGCTTGAGTAGGATAGTCCTGAGTTAGGATTTCTTAAACTTTGCTGTAGCAGTGATTCCCCGAACCTTCAGAACATTTAATAACTTATTCAATATTTTGTAAATTAAAAGAAAATATGTTTGTACAATTTATTCCTCCATAATGTTTAGAAGAGCGATCGTTCGAACGAACTCAAAAAAAGTACAAGTTATCGTTTTTTACTGAACGAACGAAGTTTTTAAAAGATTTTGGTTACTGAACGAACAATTTTTTAAAACAAACTTTCTAAGAAACGGTAGTTTTACTGAAAGAGCGAACTAATTTTAATGAACGATCATTAGAAATCGAACGAAATAGATGGAAAATTAACGATAATTCTGAAAACAAACAAACAAATTTTTTTTATTAAAAAACTGAAAAAAACTTGCTAAGTAGATCGTTAACAAACGTCAAACAAATGAACCAATGAACCAATGAACCAATGAACCAAAGAACCAATGAACAAATGAACAAATGAACAAATGAACAAATGAACAAATGAACAAATGAACAAATGAACAAATTAACAAATGAACAAATTAACAAATGAACAAATGAGCAAATTAACAAAAATGAGCAAATGAACACAAATAAGCGATTGAAAAATTGAACGAATGAATTGAAAAAATAAACACTCCCATCTGTAGCTCTAAGTAGCTTACCTCCATCTCAACTAGCATTATACCCTCTGAACTAATTGTTCGACGTACTACAGTAGTTAACCCATTCCTACAATAAAAGAGCAAAATACAATAGTAACTGAATAGAATACAATGATTTTCCTTTAACAAAAATTAATAATATTCCTACAAAAAAAGACAACAATATTCCTACAAGAAAACCAATATTATTTCTACAAGAAAATACAATAATAACAGAATGAAACACAATTATAAAAAAATAACTTACGATAATCTATATATAAATTTGACTTGTCTGTCTGTTTGGGTGTCTGTTTGTTTGTTTGTATCCAATAAACGTCAAAACGGCTGAACCGATCGGGCCCAAATTTCTTTTGGGAAATCTAGGGACCCCAGGGAAGGTTTATGAATGATCAAAATTTCAAATATTGTCTCCATCAAAATTCGATCTTCATTAAATTTTGAAAATTTTGAAAATCCACGAAATTTTTTGTGAAAATCCGCGAATTATTTTTGTTTTGTTTTACGTAGGCTAGTCTATATATAAATTTGGCTTGTCTGTCTGTTTGTCTGTTTGTTTCTATCCAATAAACGTCAAAACGGTTGAACCGATCGGGCCAAAACTTTTGTGTAGGTGACCACAGGGAAGGTTTATGAATGATAAAAATTTTAAAAAATGTGTTTTAAAGGTTTTAAATTTTTTCAAAAAAATTTAAATTCTGAAAAATCCCCGAATTTTTTTTTTAAATCCGCAAAATTTATTTCTTCTTTGTTTTAAAATGTAAACAAAAAGAACATGTTCACAATTTAAATAGAAGATGGGCGCAAATCGCCCTAAAAGCCTAGTAGTAATATATGTTTATTTGTTTGTCCGTTCATAACTCATAAACCTCTAGACCTCAAATTTTGATTAGGAAAATCGGGAGAACCATGGAAATGTTCTTGGTTTAACTTTGATTTCTTAGTTAAGTGAGTCGACTAGAATAGAGAAAAATAGTTAAAATCGCAATTTAACACCAATGGGTAAACGGCGGTGTAGTAAATATGAGTACCCCAAGCAACGCTAGGTTCCCAAACTAAGAAGAAAAAGTGGTTTTGTAGAATTTTGAAGAAAATAGGTTCTTTGAATTATTTTGTACAATAGCCTCGAGCACAGATGAACATTGGAATATTAATCAGCATGGTATCCCCTTCGGCTAAAATTGTATTGAATAATTGAAAATAATTTTTTGTTCGTTTGATTTGTTGGGAATAGCGCAAAAAAGTTGAGTGGCTCATGAGTTTTACTCATTGCTTTAAAGTCTTAGAAGATTTTTCGTGCATCAACTGAATTGAGCACAAAAAAATCCTTAAAACCTTAAAAATATAGGAAATGAATAATTTTTTAACAACTTGCAAGATGCCCTTTTTTCTACAAAGTTATTTCTTCAAATATAATGAAACTGAGTGTATGAATTCTGATATATCAAATAATCTAAATCTAAAATGAATGACTGTAAGGCCCTATGCTATGCTTTCTGATCAAAATTTCGTTTTTTAAGATTTTTTCCTGATACATTCAAAATGCAATTAAGGGACTGTCAGTGTAATTTCAAGCAACTCTCAATGCAAACGTTTTAATGCTCAATTTACAACGGTGCCCTAGAAACCTTTAAGTGTGCAATAATAAGGAACATATTGTTGTTTTTCTTAGTTAACAACTGTTTAATTCTGATATTTTTATATGTTTTCCTGCAGTAGAAATGCGCAAGTCACTATGGAGAAAACAACATTTTCATTTTTGCATGGAGAGTCCCTTAAAAGTACGCGTAGCGGCGTACAGTCCCTTTAAGTAAAATAGAATATGTTTATACTTATCAGTAGAAGTCCAGACTAAGGTGTCATCCTCCAAAGTAAAGACACTTTCAACTTTACGGAAATCTGAACGAAAAGAAGATAACAAATAGGAAAATGAGTTGAAACGATCTGAAACGATCTGAATCGATCTCTACAATCATTAACAATAAATTAATCTTAGCAGGCTACAGCGATCTGAACAAGCATAAACTATCTGAACAGGCTAAAACGATCTGAACACACTTGGCTTATCTGAACAGGCTTAAACTTTCTTAACATGCATAAACAATCTTAACAGGTATAGACAATCTGCTTAGGTTAAAAATGGTCTGATCAGGCTATAAAGATCTGAACATGCATAAACAGTCTAAACAGACTAAGCCGATCTGAACAGGCATAAACAATCTGAACAGGCTAAAATGATCGCTCACGCAATAATAAGGGCTAATTTAACACAGACTCATTTTGTGATATAATTCCATTGAATTTAGACATTTGTTGGCGAAAAAGATTACTTTTATCGACATTACTTTGGCTATCTACGAAAATTTCCTACTAATTTTGAATATTTTGAATTTTAAAACTAAATGTTATTATTTCAATTATTTCTTAATTGGGTTAATCTCTCGTAAATTTATTCAAGTCTGTTTAAAATAACATGATATGTTAAAGATCTAAATATAAATAAAACTTAACCCTATTCATGCTGGGGGGGGGGGGCAAATTTGACCCCCCCCTGTAGTTTTTTTACATAACTCAAAAAGTATTGGTCTGAGGCTGTTGAAATTTTCTGACTTTTCTTACATACCCACAGCCCTCCCTTTAGGCCTAAAACCGGGCTTTAATACTAACTGTCTGAGTCCTCAGGCACACTGCCTGAATTACTGCTTTTTCCTGTAACAAACTAAATATTTGTTTTGACCCACTTCCACTTGTCAGATTTTGATAAAATTTATCTTTGACATAAGGAAACGAATTGCACAAGTTTTGCGAAAAAAATGCAAATTTTTTGCAAACAACCTGTCAAAAGAAATTTGCACATGTTTAATTTTTCTTGATTAAAAATCAGGTTATATAAAATTTTGCAAAAATTTTTGCATATTTGAAATGGCATGGTCAAGGGCTTTTCAAAAATGTATAATTTAAGAGACTGTATTCTCCTAGAAGTATATAGAATACAGAAAAGAGATTGTATTCTCCTAGAAGCATTTAGAATACAGTAAAGAGACTGTATTCTCCTAGAAGTATTTAAAATACAGTAAAGAGACTGTATTCTCCTAAAGTATATAGAATACAGAAAAGAGATTGTATTCTCCTAGAAGTATTTAGAATTCAGTAAAGAGACTGTATTCTCCTAGAAGTATTTAGAATACAGTAAAGAGACTGTATTCTCCTAGAAGTATTTAGAATACAGTAAAGAGGATGTATTCTCCTAGAAGTATTTAGAATACAGTAAAGAGACTGTATTCTCCTAGAAGTATATAGAATACAGTAAAGAGATTGTATTCTCCTAGAAGTATTTAGAATACAGTAAAGAGACTGTAATCTCCTAGAAGTATTTAGAATACAGTAAAGAGACTGTATTCTCCTAGAAGTATTTAGAATACAGTAAAGAGACTTTATTCTCATAGAAGTATATAGAATACAGTAAAGAGATTGTATTATCTCAGAAGTATTTAGAATACAGTATAGAGACTGTATTCTCCTAGATGTATTTAGAATACAGTGAAGAGACTGTATTCTTCTAAAAGTATTTTGAATACAGTAAAGAGA